GCGACCCTTCCAGTTAGCATCTGCACCTGTTTTGTCGATGTTGGGCTCTTCAAATCCAGGATGGCCTTGATCTGATCTGGGCTGGCCTCATTGCCCCTTCTTGTCACCAAGTATCCCAAAAACTTACCAGAACCAACTCCGAATGCACATTTCGATGCATTGAGTCGGAGCCGATATGTTTTAAAGATGTCAAAGACTGCTTTCAAGTCAGCCAGATGGCCTTCTGGTTCTTTGGTCTTCACGACCATGTCGTCGATGTAAACTTCCAGCGTTCGGCCGATCAAGTGTCAGAACATCTTAGTTACTAACCTTTGGTAAGTTGCTCCTGCGTTTTTCAACCCAAAAGGCATCACTCAGTAACAGTACAGCCCCTTAGGAGTGATCAACGCAGTCTTCTCTTCATCTGGAGGGTACATGGTAATCTGATGGTGTCCCCTGTAAGCATCCAGGAAGCTCATCCTTCCGTGCCCAGAAGTGGCGTCTACCAGTTGGTCAATCTTGGGTAAAGGGAAGCCTTCTTTGGGACAGGCCTTATTCAGGCTGGTGAAGTCTACGCAAACTCTCTATTTACCATTCTTTTTCTTCACTACTACTGTGTTTGATAGCCATATCGGGTAATTTACCTCACAAATGGCCTTGGCTTCGAGTAGTCTGTCTACCTTCTCCTCTACTGCTTCGACGTGTACCAACGTCGGTCTTCTCGCTCGCTGGATTACAGGTTTGGCCGACCTGTCAATGTTCAATTTATGGCAAGTGACCTCGGGGTCAATGCCCGGCATTGCATAAGGCATCCAAGCAAACACCTCAATATTTGTTCTTAGGAAAGCTTCCAACTCTTTTTTCTCTTCTTCGGCTAAGCCCGAGCCGAGAAGAAAGAAGCCTTCTTCATCCCCCTCCTGAACGAGGATTTTCTTCAGTGCTTCTTCACTCTTCTAGGACCTCCATGTCCTCATCTTCGATCTCTGCCTTCTCTAGTTCTCGAATACTGCAGGTGGATTTCATTGCTGCCATGGAGCAATTCTTTGCCTGCAGTTGATCTCCTCTGATCTCTTCAATCCTATGCTCTGTTGGGAATCACAATAGTTGATGTAATGTTGAGGGAACTGCCCCCATTGCATGCAACCATAGCCTTCCCAAGATGATGTTGTAAGGGAGGGTGTGTCAATTACGGTAAACTCTGTCGTTATCTTCCTGGTGCCTGCTTGTACCTCCAAGCTGGTTATCCTTAGTGGCCATGTCGGCGTTCCATTGAATCCGACCATTGGGCTATTGGACTGCTCCATATCGTCTGTGTGGAGGCCGAGCTCCTTGTAACATCGGATGTACATGATGTCACAAGAGCTGCCTTAGTCAATCAGGATATCCTTTACTTGGCATTCCCCAACCTGGAGGGATACTACCAAGGCATCATTATGCGAATGTTGCACCATCTCAAGGTCGACTTCAGAAAAGGATACTATTGGTCCTTGGCACTCCTCTGCCCGATGTCTCTTCTCCCCGACTTGGTAGATGTGTTGTAAGTGCTTCACCTTCTGGGTCTCCCCCCTGATTTCGTTCTCGCTGACCTTCGAGTGAATTGCATTAATTACTCGAGGTCCTCCTACCTGAGGTTGCTGTGCTGGGGGAGGCGGAGCAGCTAGTGCCTGAGGTAGTCTTGCCTGTTCTTCCCTTGTTCTGGCTTCATCGACAAGGTCTCTCAGATGACCTTGCCTCACCAGGTCTTCCAAGTGTGCTTTCAAGGCTCTGCAACCCTGAGTCATATGCCCGTTTTTGTTGTGGTAGGCATAATGCCTGCCAAGGTTCCTTCCCATAAATTCTCCTGGTGCCCTTGCTGGTGTTCTGAAATAGGGTTGATTCCGAATTTGTTCCTGGACTTTGTGAATTGGTATTCGAAACACAATTGTCACTGCCTGTGCAGCCCTTAGTTCTGTCTCTTGCTTGTTTGATCCATTGTTACCTCGGCCTCGCTTCGGCGAGCAGTTTACTTTCTCTTACTTTGTCTCCTTAGCTCCTGACGTGTCTTCCTCGGCTCTGGCATACTTCTCGATTCTCACCATGAGCTCTTCCATGCTTTTTGGCAGTGTCTTTGCCAAAGACTTTTGTAGTGGGCAGTCGTCTTTTAGGCCATTTTTGAAAGATACGACCGTTACCTCTTGATTGCACTCAGGTATTCGGTTGAACACCTCATAGTATCTTTTTGCATAGGCCCTAAGGCCTTCATCCTTACTGATCTTTAGAGCTAACAATGCGTCCACCCTTAATGGCTGCAGTTTGTTTGTCACGAACCTAGCCACAAACATCTCGGCCAGGCCTTCCCAAGTCTTCACGCTTCCCTTTGGTAGTTTGTGGAACTAATCTGATGCAATCTCCCTGAAGGAGGAAGGGAATACTTTGCAGAGCAACGGCTCGTTCCCACTATATAATGCCATCGAGTTCAAGTATAATCCAACGTGGAAGTTGGGGTCTGACTTACCATCGTATATTTGAAACCTCGGCATACTGAATTTCTTCGGCGCCTCAAACTTGTCCAACTCCACCGAGAATGGTGTCTTCAGCTTATCTGGGGAGTTTACCTTGGCGTAGGCATTCTGTTGCTTCCTCTTGAGGTAATCTCTTAAGTCCTCATTCGTCCGCCCAGGAGCTCGGCTATCTCCTACTTTCAATCTTTTTGGTGCACTGCTTTCAGCTTCGTGGTGTGTCCTCTTTGACTTTTCACCATTAGTTGAGTCAAAGCATAGCGCCTGCCCCTGAACATGCCGATGTTCTTTGGGGCCTGCCTCCTTTGCGTAATACGTCCTACGTGATTCTTCCCTTCTTAACTCTCCTCGTCCGACCTCCCTGGAGGGTTAGTGAGAGTGTCTCTCGCTCCTGGTGTGCTGAGGGGCTACGGGGATTGTTTTCTACCCTCCCTTCTGGGCATTGGCCGCTGGGATCGGCGTTTCTTGCAGCGGGAATGGTGGCTGCATGACATTATTTTGCATTATAAAATTGACGACCGATTGCAGGTCTGCCAATTTGTTTGCCATTTCTTTCACTTCTTCGTCCCTTCGCAGGCACCTATCCTTCCATACCTGGAGGTTGGCCTCGTTGTAGTACCCACTTCGATCTGGTCTATTTGGTACGTCGCCAGTCTGGCCGACATCTTTCACTCTGTGATTCTGGTCACGAGTTTCTGTGTTGTGTTCGTCTCCTTCGATATCAAGGTCAACAGGTCTCCCACTCCTAGCAGGAGTGTCATCCCCAATCTTTTTCTTCTGTCCGTTACTAGCCATCTATTCTTCTTTTTTCCCACAGACGGCGTCAAATTGTGTGTGTCAATTTCCGACCACACTGCCAATCAAGCACTCAGCTGGAGAACACTGGTAGAATAAACTAAGTCCAAACAACCTGTCACAGAAAGATAAGAATCCCGCGGTGGCTCGTCCACCCGGGGGCACTCCGACGATCAAGTCAGTAAAATATCTCTCAAAGATAATCAATAATGCTTAACTCACTAGACAAAAACATAACAGACATACCTTAGACTCATGTGGGTGCCTCCCTTTTATAGCCAACAACAATCCTAGTCCCAATAGAAGCCTAACTTCAATGGACTCAGGATTACTGCTAAACTCTCTAAGAGTTTTATCTTAATCCAAACTGAAGTCTTCTTATCATTCTAGGACTGTTGTGCCCTATCCGCTTATCTCGGATTCCGACATCTTCGGAAGTAACCTCGGCTTTGCCGAGATCACCTCGGCGTCATGACCAGGACAGGTGGCACCTCGGCTGACACGTCGGCGTCATCTTGGCCACGTCTTGGTACTCAGAAAATATATCCTCACAACTCCCATATAATAATACAAAAAAATTCCTTTGTGTAACACACAAGAAACTTCTTTTTGTATTTTTTCCAACATAACACTTCAATATAACACTTCAAAAAAAGGATGTGAGATTCTTCAAACCGCTCCAAAAGGAATGCAAAAATTCTTTAGTAAGTTTTAAGTAAATGTATAATTTCAAACCGTGAGTATTATATTTGAAAAAAGTACACTAATGAATTTTTTAGCATTTTTGTGTGTTACATTAGAGTGTTACGTTTAGAATCATATTGATTGGAGTGTTATGTTTGGAAAAATATACTATTTTTTTTTTTATGTGTTATATTAGAGTGTTACATTTAAGAAAAATACACTAAAGAGTTTGTTTTTGTTTTTTTGTTTGTTTATTTTTATTTTTTTTTTTTTGAGTGTTACGTTTAGGAAAAATACACTAAAGAGGTTTTTTTTTTTAGTGTTACGTTGTTATTTTGGAAAAAATACACTAAGAAATTTTTTAGTGTATTACATTAGAGTGTTAAGTTAATGAAATATTACATTTTTGTTCGTAATATTTAATTTGTTCTAGAAAGAGGAGAAATTTAAAACATCTATAATACGGATTGCCCAAATGTATAATTTCATATTTGGAAAAACCTACTTTTATTTCTAAAAATTAAACCTAAACGTGTAAGTGACTACCCCTTTGTGTAATTTTCATTTTAATGAGACATTTCGATTTATAAGAAAAAAAAAAATAAAGTATTAAATAATTTACAAGATCACATTTTCGAATTTATTAGTCTTCACCCTAAAAAAAAATAAATAAATAAATAATAAAAAAATAGAAAATCATTTCTAATATTTTATGTTTTTAAATTCAAATTTGATGAATTGAATCTTCAATTTGATAAATATTAAATTCAAATTTGATGAATTGAATCTTCAATTTGATAAATATTAAATTCAAATTTGATGAATTGAATCTTCAATTTGATAAATATTAAATTCAAATTTGATGAATTGAATCTTTAATTTGATAAAAAAAAATATATATATATATATATATATAATTTGATAAAAATTCGATTAAAAGATTAGAAATATTTTTTATAAAATTTAAATTTGAGAAAAAGACAAAAAGAAAAAGTTAATAATTAGAGATGCTATTGTATAGTTTTCCAAACGGAGACCTTGCTAGAGTCCGTCAACTGATTTGTCATCACCAGAAAGTCATTTCTCATTTCCAGATATTCTCACTCCCATCTGCATTTCAGACATTTTTAGCTTTGAAGTCTCTCAACAATGTCGACCACCACCGTTGCGCCACCAATCTTCATCGACACGGCCACTCTGCGGTCAATCCTCACCTACAAAAACCTGATCAACCACTTCCAAACCTCCCTCCCCACAGCCTCATCCACCATCCAATCCCCAATTCGCCAAACCCACCAAACAAGCCCCACCTCTTCCCTGCTCCTCATGCCCTCTTGGTCCCTCTCCCCCTCTTCCCTCCCCTACATCGGCGTCAAGCTCGTCACTCACCACCCCCACAACTCCTCCCTCAATTTACCCGGAATTCACGCCTGTTACGTCCTCTTCAACTCCCAAACTGGTCAAACCCTAGCCTCCATGGACGGCACTGAACTCACCCTCTACCGCACCTCCTGCGTCTCAGCCTTAGCCTCGCTCTACCTATCTCGACAAGACTCCCAAGTCCTCGCTATGATCGGCGCTGGTTCACTCGCTCCGCACTTGATCAAAGCCCATCTCACATCAAGGCCGAACATAAAGAAAGTGACGATCTGGAATCGAAGCGCAGCGAAGGGGAGATCGCTCGTGGAGAAGATGCGTAAGGAGGTGGAATTTGAGGGGATTGGTTTCGAGAGCAGCGAGCGGTTGGAGGAGGCGGTGGGGGAGGCGGATATAGTGAGCTGTGCGACGAATTCGGAGGAGGCGCTGGTGAAGGGGGCGGCGCTGAAGGAGGGAGCGCATTTGGACTTGGTGGGATCGTTTAAGCATTCGATGAGGGAGTGCGACGACGAGGCGATACGGAGGGGTAGGGTGTTTGTGGATAATGATGCGGCGGCGGTGGAGGCAGGAGAGCTGGTGGGTGCGTTTGAGAGAGGGGTTATTAGCCCTAATGAGATTGCTGGGAAATTGGTTGAGTTGATTGAGGGAGATAAGGTTGGGAGAAGAGATTTGAAGGAGATCACTGTATTCAAATCTGTTGGTTCGGCTGTTGTGGATGTCCTCAGTGCGCAATTGGTGTATGAGACTTTCATGAATGGTCGATCACTTTCATAGAGTAATCGCTTTTGGCTGCTACCTCTTTTTGAAGCTATTCTTGTGCTTTGCTTCAATTCAAGTTTTCTTCAATAAAACATCAGACTTCAGTGAGTGAGTTGTGAATAAAAGTGTGCTAGTATGTATGCTAGTCAAAACTAGACTTATTTTTTCAATTTTAATGGTATGATAATTTATTACAGTGAATGAGTTGTGAATAAAAGTGTGCTAGTAATAGTATGTATGCTAGTCAAAGCTAGACTTATTTTTTCAATTTTAATGATATGATAAGAGGTTGTTTGAGATGATCTAAATAAGTGTACTTTTTGATTTTTTATGAAATATGGGTTGAGTTTTAAGCGATGTGTTAGAGAGGTGATGTGACTTAAATAAGATGATATGACTTAAATAGGATAGTGACTTTTTAACTTTAGACTTTTCTTAAGTGTGCCTTGCATATAGTATGCAAGGCATTTACGACATTTCTATTTTGCATTTACACCTTCTATGTATTGGGTTATACGACATTTTCTTGAAAGTTTACACATTGGTGACCTGCTAAACGGGTCCCTTGCAGGTAAATTAATTAAATAATGTGAAAATATAAACTTTCAGTAAAAGGTGTAAACCTTCAGAAAATGGTGCAAGGGTTTTGACGAGAGGGTATAAACCTTCAGAAAATGGTGCAAGGGTTTTGACGAGAGGGTATAAACTTTCAGAAATTTGTGTAACCTTTCACAAAATGGTGAAAGTATTTTGACGAAAAGGTATAAGTTTAAAAAAAATTTCAGAAAAGGTATAATGTTTCAGAAAAAGTGTAACATTTAATATAGTGTAAATTTTATCGACAAATAAGAGTTTAGTCGTTAAAGGTTTGAAATTTTATTACCATCGGCCCCCCTCTTCTCTGTTTCCCACCAACACCTTCTCTATTCTCTCTGACACGCACACATAATAATCACTACCAATCCTGACCCCTGCTGACCACCCAAGCGTCGGTGGCCTCCGGTGCTCACTGTCGTCTGACATCGCCACCTCCACGGCCACCACTGCCGCAAATCAAAGGTTTTTTTCTCTCTCGCTATCGATCTTGATCTCTCTCTGTCGATGTCGGCCTATTCTCCGTCGATGTCGGTCTCTCTCTATCGATCCCTGTCTATCTCGGTCTGTCTCCAGCGATCTTGGTCTCTCTGTGTCCATGTGGGTCTCTTCTCTGTCGAAACGGTTCTCTTTCACATTGACATACTTAGTTGGATTTGGACTTGGAGTCGTTATTCCAAGCCCTCCCAAACTCGTCTTCTCTGAAACGAACTTCTACTGAGAGAAAGACCAAGCCCTCCAAAACGCCCTTCTCTCTCACATTGCCATTATTTGAACAAGACAAATACAGTTTGATTGGATGTTAGGAACTTATACGTTTTGTGAAAAAACGGAACTTACACGTTATGCGAAGTTACTTACATCTCTTGTGAAAACACCTACACTATTTGTGGAATGTTACACATTTGTGTAATAATTTATTTTGTAAAATTTACACATTTTCGTTGAAATACTTACACATTTTTTGAGAAGTTACTACTTTTGTAAAGAATATTATTAAAAGAATTTACACCTTTTATTGGAACTTACACCTTTTCTGAAAACCGAACTTACACTTTTTGTCAAATAATTTACATCTTGTGTGAAAAAATTTATACCTATGGAAAATATGTTTTCATAAAGTTTACACCTTTTGTTAAAAACTTAAATGTTTTCTGAAAGTTTACACATTTTGTTAAAAACTTAAATGTTTTCTGAAAGTTTACACCTTTTATGAGAAGTTACTATGTTTGTGAAACAATTTTTTCAAGAAAATATACACCTTTCATTAGAACTTACACCTTTTGTGACATAACTTACATCTTTTCTTATGGAAATCTGAATTATATTTTCCATAAAATTTACACCTTTAATGGGAAGTTACACCATTTGTGACATAACTTCGATCTTTTGTGAAAAACACATACAAATTTTTGAAAATATACACCTTTCAAGGAAAGAATATTTGCATAAAATTTATACCTTTTGTTAAAAACAAAAACCTTTTCTGAATGGTTACACCTTTTTTCTGGGAATACTTACACCTTTTCTGAATGTTTACTGCTTTTGTGAATAACTTTTTCCATAAAATTTACACTTTTTATGGGATATTACACCTTTTCTGCCAGCAACACTTAAACCTTTTTCAAAAATTTACACCTTCTATGGAAAATATGTTTTCATCATGTTCACACCTTATTTTAAAAACTTACACCTCTTCTGAAAAGGTACTCCTTTTGTGAAACAAAATTTTTTTAAAAATTTACACCTTTTAAATATGAGTTACATCTTTGGTGAAGACAATTAGACCTTTTTTGAAAATTTACACGTTTTATGGAAAATATGCTTTGATAAAGTTTGTTAAAAGAAATTATTTGACAAAAGGCATAACCTTTTCAAATATGGTGTATGTTTTTCCGAAGAAGGTGTAAATGACCTTAGAAATTATGTAAGTTTTGTTTTTCACTAAAGGTGTAACTTCAAATAATAAGTGTAAATTTTATGAAAAAAGTTTTGTCACAAAATGTGTAATTTTTCAAAAAAGTTGTAAATATTTCCACGACAAGGTGTAAATTTTTAGAAAATGTGTAAAATTTATGAATAAGTGTAAACTTTGCGATACAATCAAGCTGAATGTTTCGTTTTTACAAAAGATATAAGTTTCCAAAGAAGCTCTAAATTTTATCGACGACTTATACGTTGAAAATTTTATCACCACCGACCAGCCAACCGTCGCGGCCCACCGTTGCCCACCGCCGACTGACATTGCCACCGCCGCTGTTGCAAATCAAAGGATTTTTCTGTCTCTATCCATCTTGGTCTCTCCTTGTGCATCTCTGGCTCTTCTCTGTCGATGTCGGTCTCTCTCTCTCTGTCTGCCGATCTCTGTCTGTATCGATCTTGGTTTGTCTGTGTCGATCTGGGTCCGTCTCTCTTTGTCGAAGCATGTCTATCTGGGCTCTCTCTGTCTGTATCAATCTTCGTTTGTCTGTGTCGATCTGGGTCCGTCTCTCTCTGTCGAAGCATGTCTATCTGGGCTCTCTCTGTCTGCCGATCTCTATCTGTATCGATCTTGGTTTGTCTATGTCGATCTGGGTTCGTCTCTCTCTGTCCAACCATGCCTATCTCAGTCTCTGTTTGTCGATATTGGTCCGTCTCTCTCCCTCCCTTCGTCTCTGTCTGTCTATATCGATATCGAACCATGAACAACACAAATACAGTTTGATTGCGTATTAGCAACTTACTCGTTCTGCGAAAATCGGAACTTATACCTTTTTTGAAGTTAATTTCATCTTTTGTGAAAATACTTACAGTAATTCTGGAAGGTTACAGTTTTTTGTGAAATAATTTATTTTGGAAATTTACACATTTTCGTTCAAATACTTACACCTTTTCGGAAAAGCTACCTCTTTTGTAAAATAATTTCAATACAAAAATTTACACCTTTTATTTGAAGTTACACCATTCTGAAAACAGAACATACACCTTTTGTCAAATAACATACATCTTTTGTGAAAAAATTTACACCTTTTATGGAAAACTACATTTCATAAAATATACACTTTTTGTTAAAAAAAACTTACACATTTTCTTAAAGTTTACACTTTTTGTTGGAAATACTTACACGTTATCTAAAAAGTTACTCCATTTGTGAAATAATTTTTTGAATAAAATTTACACCTCTTATTAGAACTTACACCTTTTTTAAAAACAAAAGTTACACTTTGTGGGACATAACTTACATCCTTCGTGAAAACAGTTACATCTTTTTTTAAAATTTCCACCGTTTCTTAAAAACTTACACCCATTCTGAGAAGTTACTCCTGTTGTGAAATACCTTTTATATGACTTACACCTTTTCCAAAATCAAAAGTTACACATTTTGTGACATAACTTAAATCTTTTGTGAAAATAGTTACACGATTTTTGAAAATTTACACTTTCTTATGAAAATATGTTTTCATAAAGTTTACACCTTTTGTTAAAAACTTACATTTTTTTCTAAAAGTATACACCTTTTGGGAAAAATATTTACAAAACTTTTTAGAAATGGTGTAAGTACATCCACTGAAAGGTTTAAACTTAGTGTAAGGATTCACAAAAGGTATAAATTTTATGAAACCAATTTTTTCATAAAATGTGTAAATTTTATGGAAAATATTAACTTACAAATGAAGCAACTTTTCAGAAAAATGTGTAAGTATTTGCACGAAAAGGTGTATGTTTTTAGCAAAAGGTATAATTGTATGAAAAAATTTATTTTACAAAAGGTGTAACTTTTCAAAAAAGGTTTATGTTTTTCACAGAAGGTGTAAATGATTTCAAAAATAGTCTAAGTCTTCAATTCACAAAATGTGTAACTTTTATGCAAAGTTTATTTTACAAAAGAAGTAACGTTTCAGAGAAGGTGTAACCATTTTCAGACAAAGGTGTAAGATTTAAGAAAAGGTGTAAGTTTGAACAAAAATATGTATATTTTTGGAAAGAAAGTATTTCACAGAAGGTGTAATTTTTGAGAAATGGTGTATGTTTTTCCACAAAAGATGTAAGTAAATTGGCAAAAGGTGTAAGATTCTTTTTCAGAAAATGTGTAAGTTCGAACAAAATGTGTAAAGTTTTTTGAATAAAAATATTTACAAAAGGTATATCTTTTGAGGAATGGTGTAAGTAATTTCAATACAACATATAAGTTTTCAAAAAAGGTGAATGTTTTAAAAATGTGTAAATTGTATGAAAAAATTTATTTCACAAAAGGTGTAAATTTTCTGAAAATGTGTATGTTTTTTCACAAAAGGTGTAAGTCGCTTCATAAAACGTGTAATTCAAGTTTTCACGAAAGGAGTATGTTTTCCACAAAATCTTTAAGGGACATCAGAAAATGTGTAAGTTTTGTTTTTAAAAAAAGTGTAAGTTCTAAGGTGTAACTTTTATGAACAAAATTAATTTATAAATCAAGTTTGGTTTTTACAAAAAGTGTAAGTTCCAAGGTGTAACTTTTATGAACAAAATTAATTTATAAATGAAGTTTGGTTTTTATAAAAAGTGTAAGTTCCAATGTGTAACTTTTATGAACAAAATTAATTTATAAATGATGTAATTTTTCATAAAAATGTGTAAGTAGTC